GCTTGATACTAAATGAGATAAAGCTTACAAAATTGGTCATAGAAGGTCGAGAATGTAAATATGTTTTTCTTTCTCACACCAAAACAAAATTTAATAAATATAATTGGGAATGCCACCCGCGGGCGATTGAATGTGCTGTCCCTTCCTTTTCTATGATATCACTATATGCCTCTTCTTCTATTGCGATGTCACTCAGTTCCAATGTAATTGCTTTCTGAGGAACTTTCATTATCATGTTACGTGCGAGCAAAATTCAATGACCCAAAAACGGACGAACTGACTAACTTTTGACAGAACGTGACAATCAGGTTGATCTTTCTGCTTTGGCATATTTTTTTCTGTTCGAGCGATTCTCGCGAGCGATGACTTTCTAGATTTCCAATATCTTTGAAATGTGCAATTGGTGTATTGCACGTTTTGCAGGTCGCTTTGGTTTCTTTAAGTGAGAGGAGAAGGATAGTATTGGTAGTAGATTGCGAACCCTACGGGGATATGCAATAAATTACGAATTTTACAGAAATTTACATTTTATTGTACATAAGATGTATAATGCGAGATGGTTCGATTAAATATAGTAAGGTGATTATATTGTATGTCTTTAAATTTATATTTTAATAATCACTCAATGATCATGTTCTAAGCGCGTGCGAAACTGGCTCGATCCTCGTGTACGGATTGGTACTTGTTACGCGAGAATGCATTATTTTTAACGCATGTGACAAAGGTGGACTTTTAGGATAAAAATCATGACTGCGTTTTGCGGGCGTATAATCGCCGGAACACGTCGTCGCAAGCGATACACTTGAAAGTTCTTTGAAAGATAGCATCCATAGTGTTTAAGAAAACTGTTTTTTTACGTAAGCTCTCCGATGAAAAGTCTATGATGTGATAAATTTTAATCGATCGCGCGTCTATTGATGTACGTACACATATCGTTATGCGTGCTGCGGTTGAATGCTGTGCGTGTGTGCGGAACTTTACACGAGCGCGTGTGAATACCTATTTTCTATGTGCATTGTGATCGATATTAACGATCAGTCTAACAATAAGTACTACTACTATTACGTCATTGTAAAATTTATCGTGCAGTAAAGAAGGCAGAACGCGAACGGTGCCGTCAATTATAATGTACATTTGGTGCCTCGCATAATGGGAAATCTGCTCGTTCCAGGATGAACAAAGATTCCTACGTGATCGGATGGAATCACGTCGTTTGCCTAGCTCGGCCGGATTTCCCATTGTGCCCCGTTACGAGGATGATACGTTAACTGGTGCAACACGTATGTGTATCGTTCTTGTATCGCCGTAAGACAGTTACTCTCAGACGCTTGGGTCTTCTGTGTGGATCGTTAGTGTTGCATTATTTGTATACCCCCCGAGATACTTTACACTTTACACTATGCAAAACTCTGTCTTTATCTTACCTATAATTTGCGTTAAGCGGTCAACGCGCCGCGTCGTGCTTGTATCCAAGTTATCGATAAATGAATATCAAATCCGAGTGGAGAAACCCACCAATTCAATGCTGCGACTGGAATTTCGATCGCGGATATGATACGTCCGCGAATTATAGAGGAATTTGCGCGCGATATATTAACTTTAATATCGTTAATGTATACATGTCGAATTCACTCGGAATCGGCGCAATATGTTGCTACGATAAGTTTATGTGTTGGAAGATTTAATGTGTAAATACGTACGTGCAGCTAAATTTTGCGCGAGTCACCGTACATCACGTGTTATCTGTTCTGTCTGTCTGGAGCGACGCCCAGTCGTTTAAACAATTTTACGTAATACCATAGTTATTGTTCGCGCGAATCGTGGAATCCGAAGCGTAAAGTAGCCGAGACAATCGATTTGATTATGCATGTAAATACAAATGTAACTAAATTCTAAGAGACGACGGTAAGAAGCGATATTTATTTCGAGAGGGACAGCGATTGCGATCGCGTTATTTATTATTAACCCAAGCGGATACGTTTGTCGCGAATTCTTAAAGGAGCACGAAATTGTAAATAAATATATTACTATGAGAAAAAGAGAGAGTGAAAACTTTTCAAGCGTTTGCATCCCTGTCTTCCGCATTTAAGTCAAATTATGTTGAATTTTAAGCGACTAAAACATTTGTTTTATATACCTCGCGATTTCAGAGAGTTTTACTGCTTAAGTTTTTCTATGTGCCAAGGCCTTAATACATGCTTTAAAACTGATTTAAAAAATACATATCTATTATTTTTTGTTACTCTACGACAATATCCAAAGCCCATCAAAATCGGTGAGGTATAGTTCTAAACGTTTCCTTGGTAGTATTTTTTTGAAATTCGTAGAATGTCGCGTCAACTTCACAGACGTGTAGCTACAGTGAATAAGTTCAGACGATTCGTGAAAGAAGCGACCGACGACAGACTTGTTCGTCGTAGGCACGGTGTAAGCCACCGTGGTCGTAGCTGAGCTTTTTGGAGTTTTTGTCTTTCCCCTTTTTCTCTCTAATTACGTATTCATCTGATTTTAAATCCAGACAGTTTAACGTAGGCTACAGAGAATAGATCTAAGATTTATACGGCCAGCTGTGCGATCTGAATCTCATAGAACCTGTTCGCCTCCTCGCTGGGCGAAATGAATGTAATACAGGCCGCTCCGCCAAGAGGACGGCGCGCTTATGCGAGAGGAAGGATCGTCTCGGCACCAAACGCGCAACGCGCCACAAACATCTTTCCGAAATATCGTAAGTGGCCATTATTCGTGTCGCGCATCGCCGCGCTAAAAAAAATCAACAAGTCTAATTTTCACAATTTGCCGATTCACATTTAGAAATATGATGAAATTTCAACGGAGTTCCTAACGACTATCGCTACGCGAATCTCTATTCGATTTCTAACGGTGAATTGATTGAGATCGATTACGGTTCGCATCCGCGTATTGATACTCATTTAATGATTTTTGTTTATCATCATTTTTTATTTAAAATATCGATACGCTCTGAATTTTTTTTACACTTGGCTGCGTCCTCCGCATCTGCCGCTCTTTCGCTGCCCGACAATTGGATTCTGCGCATTTTTATGCACGCACGTAGAATTCGACTCGGGTTTTCTGAGACCACCGACGAACTCTGGACCCGCGAATGCCAATGCAAAGACGCCAAAGCACAATCGCAGAGAGAACTGCATTTCAACATCATCCTACTTGCCGAGCACTTCTCGTCGTAGCGTGGGGTGAGCTATAAATCTCGCGCCTACGAGTCTCTCTTTATATAGGGGATGAGAGATTCTATAATAATGGTTAAAAACCGTGTCAAAACAAATATTTTTTCCCCTTAACTACTAGCTTTGGATAATTTCATCTTAATATTCTTGACTAAAGATCAGAAAAGAAATAATATTTGTCAAAATAATATATTTTCCCTAACTATTGACTTTCAGATCATTTCCTCTTAATATTCTTATACACAGTATGACTGAAGAGTACGGCCTTGGCTAAAATTATTAGGCACCCTCGTGCCTGATATTCATTTTGCAGTAGTGAATCTAATATCAGGAAAGACTTCTATTGTTTAAGAGTTGTTTATTAAAGTGTTAATTATTATAAACGCGTATATACGTTTACTTTTTATTTTTCTTTCAAAAATAAATGCTATTTTGGAACAACTTTATTATAATAGGATGCCCAACAATTTTGGCTAAGGCTATATATATTTATGTAAAAAAAAAACAGAAGAGCTCATTAAAAAGTATAATTTCTTACTGCAGATACATCCCCGTATCCGCGAAAAAAGTAGCATTACTCTTCTTCCATTTTCCATTTTCACCTAGAAAGAACCATAATCCAACCTAGTTAATAAAAAAAAATCGTTCTGTATAATCTTATTTCCCTAATATTTTTCGTTAAAAATATAATTTCTCGATATCTGTTAGCTCGGTTAATCCGAGATCAACACCGTTCGGTACGTCCAGCAACGCGGAATCCTGCGTAGTGATCGGTAAGCGAATGTTGAATAATAACACAAATGTAAGTAACTTATTCTTTAGCCTTATGCCTTAATCACAGATCTCTCAATTGTTATTAGCGTTAACTGCCGGCCGAGGAGACGCTAGAAACGAAGTCGGTTTGGCAGCGATAGATCTTCAATATCCGTACTTGATGCTCTGTCAAATCAGCGATTGTCAAACATACGTGAATACTCTGACGAAAATCAACATCCTCGATCCGGTAGAAGTGAGCACGTTTTAATGAAGCTTCTTAAATTAGAAGATAAAAATAAATTAAAGCGATCATTGATCCGATAGAAAAAGTCACATTTAATGAGAAAGTATCTCTTTTGTCACACAATTTCTTTTTTTCTTTCTTTTAAGATACTGATGCCCGAAACAATGTGCGAACATCACGGCCGTGGGAACAAACTGTACAGATCGATCAAAGAGAAATTCAACACGCTCAACATCACGCCGATTTCGCGAATACACTTCAACGAGTCGACCGGCATGGAACGCGTGCGAACCCTATGCGCCAGGGAATACTCGACCGTGGAGTTAATAGTGAAACAAAAGTAACCGCTATTTAAATTAATTGTAATTAATGATTTTAATCATATAAAGCGCCGACTAATTATCTCTTTTAGGTATTACGCTTTAGCCGCCGCTGCGGCATTGCTCAAGTACGTGGAATACGTCCAGCACATGGTTTACGCTCCGAAATCAGTGAGGATAGAGTTTCAAGGATCACCGAACACCACGATGATTGGTAAACTACAGCTCGAACCCTAGTTTCATACGAGAACGATGTTTCATGATAAACGACATCGACAATTATTGTGCAGATATAGAGAGTGCACGAAGTCTCGAGCTGGTCGTCTCGCAGTCCAAACAGTCCATCGTCAGTCTGCTGGGCACGATGAACCGCTGCTTGACCCCCATGGGTAGAAGACTTCTGCGCGCTTCCATTCTTCAACCTCCGTGCAACGAGCATTTAATCGCCGATCGGCAATCTTGCGTGGCGGAATTGGTGGCAAATCAGTCTTTGTGCACCAGTCTTCAGGTTGTCACGCGCTACTTACTTACATAGGCCGATCTTATCCAAGATCGTCTTAACCCTCCAGTATTCGCATTACTCAGCGAGCCGTTGTTACCCGCGTGCAGCGTCTACAGAACCCATCTCATCTTACTCATAAACATTATTTTCGGTTTAACCTTTTCCATTTCTAACGTATTTTTTTATTTATATTACTCAAAATACATACATATAGGAAATATGTTCCAAATGTTAGAAATAAAATATCAATTTATAAAATAAAATAAAACAAAATAAATACAAGTCTAAATTAAGAAACAATAGCACAAGGAACATATTGTTTTTATTTATTTATTTATTTTTTTTGTAATACAGAACTAGTAAAATGTTATAAAAGCTAATTATAATTTGCATATTATATATATATATATATATATATATATATAAAGTAATAATAATATAATATAATAATATTAAAACATAAATAATACTAAAAAATAACAATCTACTGCAATTAATTAATAAAAAATTACCTTACTGTAACATAAATAATCGCGTGGCGTTAAGACTCCGGGAAAGAGGGATCTCGAGAAAACACTCTCCACATCCTTCCACATGCGACTGATATTGATGATAGTGCATAGATACTTCATCTATATAGTCCATAGATAGTCCATATAGATACTTCGAGGAGGGCTAGAGGGAGAGGTAACAGGTGTCTCAACTTTGTAATCCAGATCGCTTGGTTTGGCGATAAATAAAAGATCGATTAGCGCCTGTGAGACTTCAGCGGACACTGAAGAATTAAATACGATCTTGAGACGCTATAAAATTATTTCGTAAGCTGGATGGAATTTTAAGATCGTCCATGATCGAACTTAAAACGATCTTGAAGATCGGACTATGAATAAATCAGTCAGTGATTTTAACTTCTTAAATGTAAACCAACAATTGGATTACATTTGTATCATACATTTTGCAGCCAGTGGTACAACGCCTTTTCGGGACGGACCGTTTGCTGGCGTTAGCAATTAAACCTCTGCACGTCAACGACATGCAAAACGCGGAGCGAAATCTAAATTATGCGCTGCTCTTAAAGAGCTGCCTGGACACCATTCCGGAATTGGAGGCGATTCTCGCGATCGGCATTCATCCGTTCTTTGTAAAGACGCGAAAGGTTTGCGCTCTCTCGCGACTTATTAATATTATCTGTTCGTAGTCTGTCCACATCGATCACGAATAATGGTTTCGCACTTGCAGAACTTAGAAAATTCAGAATTCCGAGTTATGAAGGATAAGATTTTAACGCTGATACACGCGGACGCGAGATTCGTGAAAGGATGCACTTCTTTGAGTATGCAGCGGTGTTTCGCTATAAAAGCTGATATCAACGAATTGCTGGACGTCGCTCGGCAAATCTATTGCGAGTTGATCAACGACATGAAAAGTAAATGCATTATAATAACATAAATTTAAATCATATATTCAGACGGCGAAAATGACGAAAAATTACTTCGTAATTTTGTGGCTCTATTTAAATAGGCATGGTGGAGCAGTTAGCCGTGAGACACAAGCTTCCATTGTCCTTAGAATACAACACGAACTTGGGCTATCATATAAACGTCATCATACCGCGGGGCTTGAACATGAAAATCTCGGACTTGCCGGCGGAATTTATTCAGGTAGCTCATCGCTGATTAACACATAATCTTAATTGCACCTAACACCTTTCGCGATTACGCAGGCACGAAAGAACAGGAGATCCTTCACAACAACGACGACGGCACTATTAACATTGAATAAACAATGCAAGAAGGCTTGCGAGGAGATTTACATGATGAGCAACACGTAAGTTACTTTTCGAGAGATCCCGCGTCTCGTTGTATTAATGAGACAATAATTTGTAGGTTGCTAACCAATTTACTGGAGGATATCCGACAACACGTCGGCTGCTTGTTTCAATTAAGCGCAGACGTGGCGGAATTGGACTTGGTCTTATCCTTGGCGCAAATCAGTTGTAATCCGGAATACACGAGACCGTCATTTGGAACGAATTTAGAATTAATAAACTCGATACACCCTATTATGGAGTTATTTAACAGAGATCTTCCCGTGGCTAACGACGTGGTGAGCATTGAACGTTAAACAAGACTCGAGACAAATAACGATATTTTCCTATTTTTTTCTTGAAACACGCAGAACGCTTCAGTCACGCATAATTTTCATCTGATAACCGGACCAAATATGAGCGGCAAGTCTACGTATTTAAAACAGATCGTTCTACTTCAAATTATGGCGCAGGTGACGTGAGAACACATTTATCGATTGGTCTCTTCGCGTTTGTCTTCCGAATCGTTATTAAATATTCATTGTCACGTAATTAAAAACTAAAACACACTGCTGTAAGAGAATCATGTTAGTCTAAAGCGTGATACATACTCGATCAGACAGGAGATTTTTGCTTTAGCGTTTCACAAAACTAGGTAACGACCCGACATATCGGTATCTTGACCAACGTACCCGTTACTCGCGTCTTATATTGCAGATCGGTTCCTACGTGCCGGCGACGAAGGCAACGTTTCGCGTTGCAGATCGCATACTTTGTAGGATTAGCTCTCGCGACGACGCCGAGCTCAATGCATCCGCCTATGTCCTCGAGGTGAGCGTGTGATAACTGTAATTATATATACCTCTTTTTCCTTCCTATACATTTTTCACTCTCTCTATATATATAAACGTACAGTATATGTGTATGGTATATGTGTGTGCTCTTTTTAAGACACAGTACCATGTTTTTCATGTGAGATGGATACACATTTTTCTAACTTTTCTATTAAAAATATCGCACACATACGCAAGTGTTCCCACGTGATTATCCAATCAGATACTGGCCATGCTTAACGTTGGTCGACTTTAGTCATCTAACGAGAACCGGTGCTTTCAAGGCGAGACTATTGACACCTAATTATACTCACAATCAGTGCCATGGTTAAAGTATAATTACTGATTTATTTACGTCAGATGAAGGAAGCGCAATACATCCTGCAATCCGTCACGCCCAAGTCTCTCGTTGTACTGGACGAGCTCTGCAGACATACTACGGTCGAAGAGGGTTCCGCCATCGCTTGGGCGATATGCGAGAAATTATCGCTGACGACCGCGTTCACGTTCGCCGCGACACACTTTTTGCACCTCACCGCGCTGAGCAATATGTATCACAACGTGACAATGTACGTGGAAATCTTACACAATTATACACACATATATCATTTGCTACAACTATGCTATCAAATGTCCATTTAGCTATGTCGCAAAAGTGTCATTTTTTAGTTGTTTGCAAAAAATGGTGAGAACATTCAATACACTGAATGATAAGAACTAATATATATAACTAAATACTTTTGTTCTTTTTATTACCCCAAAATCATATTTAAAAATTATGTAAAATTTTAATAATTTAAAACATTTAAACTCATTTTCTGGAAAACTTGTTTCATAAGTTACATCATTATTGCACAACAAACAATCGTGACATATACATATATTATATATAATTTCTTCCTAGTAGTACATACATTGGCAACATGTTGGCTGAATACTAGTTATATTGGGAGTGTTTTGGCCAATATTTCCCAATGCAAAGCTAATATTGGTTATTAATAAAATGCAAGTGCACTGCTAATATTAAGTCAAAAAGAGAGAGAGAGCGTCTACTTTGCAATACAGTTATAATATGACAAATTAATCTATATCCAACATAAAAATTAGATATATATATATATATTGTTAACCAATATTGTTACAATAAAAAGTTATTCTGCATAGGGTCTAGCATAAAATAAGATATTATGGTTCTTCAGCCATTGCTTCGAGACGAAAACCGCGGAACCAGAAGAATCGGGCGATCTGCATCTGATATATACTCACAAATTGAATCCCGGAACCGGACCTACGGATCACTACGGAATCGCTCTAGCGGAAGTGTCCTCTCTACCGAAATGCGTTACGATTAAAGCGCGAGAGTACGCGTCCCAGCCATCCGTCAACGCACAAAACGTGAGTTTATAAACGTCTGTAAAATTACTGAACGTTATTAAACATACTTCGAATATTTAATTTTTCTAGAATAATCTTGGATCCGTCACGAGTTCTCTGTCATGGGAGAAATCGTGTTATAACGCGGTCGTTCAGTTACGCGCGCTATTGGAGGATGACCGTTTCACTTTCGCAAATATAATAAATGTCATGAAGCAATTGGATCTAAGTAAGCAAAGTGAGCAAACGGAAAGAGCGCTGATTCCAACAAAATCCCCAAACGTCGTGCAAGAACGTGGAAAACGTGAGGAACGGGGGGAGAAACGTGAGGAAGACAAAAATCTTGTCGCGTCGAATAATGGTTTAACGATAGGGACGAAGGACGACGTATTGTTAACGGAACAGACGAATAAAGATGAACGAAAGATGAACGAAGAGGAGGTGCAAGACGAGCCGATGGAAATAGACAAAAACGACACTCAGCAGGCAGTATCGATTCACGAGGTCATAGTAAATCGAACGGCATTTTCGTCGCAAAACACAGTCAATAAAGATATGTCATCGTCCGTTAATCCAAGCTCTTCTCCGCAATCTCCGAAGAACGATCCGCGATTTTACGTTTGCACGTCCTTCGCGGCAAGCACCCCGAAAACAATATCGCCACATCGAGGAACGAATCCAGGATCGAGTTTCGCTGCAAGATCGATAGCAGCCTCTCCGTCGACATCCCTCAGGTCTTCTCAGTCGTTCCAGTATCACGATTACTGTTTGTCCGAGGGAGACTTCACTCCGCTCCATTCAATACCGTCTCAATCAACGCCGAGCGATGTAGCGAAGATGACCGCGCGAGCGAAAGAGGCGAAGATCTTTCGGCAGATCGAGGGCGACAATTTCGACGAAGAGGCTTTCTTCAATGATACTCAACGAGTACCATTTAAACTGGATCTCATCTCGGACGATGGAGATGACGTGGAGATGTTACTGTAAATAATGTTAAAATAAAAACGTGTTTTATCGTACGTCAATTCATTCACATAATATATATATTTATGATGAAAAATAAAAACGTTAAGTGACACTCTCGATTTATCTATTCCCTTATCGTGCCCGCGTAGATAAGCGTGCATGCCGATTCCCGGCAAATTCACATTAGCGAGCCGCGAACATATGAGTGCGCAAGACGAAGACGCTCTTCGCGACGAAATTGACAAGATACGTCAGCTGCGTTTTTTCGAGCAGAGACATAAAAAATTGCAAGATTAAAGTAGCTTCACGGCGTGATGAAGGCGAAAGGGCGATAATGATCTTCGAACGGTCGACGATTGTTCTCGATATCGCAAAATCGAAATACAAAGGTTAAACCCGAGAGGAAACGCGAAACTTTCACGCGAGAATGTCTGCTGACCTGCTACCGGAATGGGTGAATTTGTATCTCGACGACTTCGAGGCCAGCCTCTGCCTGCCTATTCTCGTGGTTATGGTGCTCTGCACCGCGCAATTCGTATTTAATCACGTCTTCGGTATCGGATATATGATCTATCAGAGCGTGAGGAAGCCGGCGACGGAAGAGGAGGAGCAGGATAAAACTGATATGATGGGAAAACTGAAAGGTCTAATGTCAAGCATATATACCCTACGCGCCTCTCGAAATAGCACACACAATACGTAATTTGTTACATATTCAAGACCTACTTCGTTCCTGCGGACTCGTTAAGTCCTCGTGAATATTAAAAAAATTTCATAGATATTTCACAAAACAAAAAGTTCGATCGACAAAGATCTCATTTACGACGGCATTCTATGCTAAATAACTTGTAACTTTAAGAGGTCGACGTGTTATTGCGCGGTCGATAATTCATAATTTTTATCTAATGCAGGAGTTTGTTGATTAATACAAATCTCTGTTCTAAACTCGCCAGGAATGCTGACCGCTCTAGGTATCGGAAAGCCCGATACGACGACTAGGATTCCGATTAAAAATCCACACTCACCAGGTTACGATACTCGATCTCGAGAGGAAGAATGGGATTATTGCGAGGAGGATATTGAATGAGATAACGGGACGTTTCTATATGCCATTACAATCACAATACAAAGTGCATAGCAAACAAATAAAATACTCTTTGCCTTAATGTTGTCGCGTAATCACTTCCAAACCTCTACGTTCACGTAGAGAATGGCTCAAGGACATGAAAAAATATCTCTGCTTTAAGATCACTTTGTTCACAATCATTAACATTGATAAAAGGAAATAAATCGAACAGATTATTCGATATTTTCGTACGATACCGTCTATCTCTTTGCCTTCGATAAACCAGCGCGTAAGAAGTCGGTATCGTGTCGTTTAAGGTCCAAGTTTTAAAGCGCGTAATGGTGGAGCGCATGAAAGAGAGGGGAAGAGGAGACCGGTCGAAGACACGAAAATGGGTCAAGGCTGACGAGCTCGAAGCTCTCTCAGCTTCCACGTATGTCGCGAATAAAGCTTAATTAAGTCCACTTGAAGGTGACTGCCGAAAGCGAAACTGTCGGACACTATTATTCATCGGGGAACATTTTCGATGCCCCGTTGTTCCACAGTCTCGCTCTCCGAAAAGCTTCCGGAGTATCAGGTCTTAAATTGTTTCCAGTATCGTAAATTTAAGAAAAAAAGCAATATTAAACGCTTCGTTAACGCTATTTCAACATTCATTCATGCGTCTGAATTTTCTCGACGGTGCCAATCCATGACGAGGCCAACGCCTAGCGATCTCGGTATTTTGCACCGCGTGGCCTTGCAATTACACTCGGATATGCGAAAATGTCGCACGTATAAAATATCACTTTGTTGTTGAAAAACGACTTGCCACGCATTCGCACACGTCCTCGACGTTTGAAATTTACGCAGCCGGCAAATCGCAAATTATTATTGCTCAGACGCGATTTACGTATAGGTGTTAACAATGAGCTATGTTCGCTGGCTTACAATTAGATAAATGTATCTATAGCAATATTTTGCGTACACGTGCGTGCGTAAGATCACGTAGACTGGTCGCTGCTAATTCTTGGGATTCTTCCGAGGTCAAAGCACGCATGTTATATTTGTACAACTGACTTTCTAGCATCTAGCGGATCGAGGAAGGAGAATATTTGCGTCAATAAATCTTTTGGCAATAACATGTTATTTTAACGTGCTTCAAGATACTGTTCTTTTCAAGCAACTTGAAAAAAAGTGCGGAAAAGAAGTAAAAAAGTTATGACAACAAATTATAAAGAGTTAAGTAATTAAATAAAATACAGCGCAGTAAAATAATTCAACCGTAAAAAGAAGAAAAAGAGAAAAAATTATAATCTATACATATATGTATATAATAACAACTTTTTTTTATCTTTTTATAACACGGATTTATATAACATATAACGCATCTTCCGTGTTGTACGGCGATCTATTGTTTATATGTATATTGAAGAATAAAATAATAATAGATATTAATACATCTTGGACCTAAAGAAAATATAAAGTTGTATACAAAAGAGATAACACGACGACTGCTTAAAATGCCCGATTAAATTAGATTAAAAAATCGATGTAGTCGAATTGCTCTTTTAGTTTGTAAATCAAATTCTTATCTGATATCGATAAATTCTCTTTTCTTATTCTTTCCTTGTGTCGTAATCCATTGATAAAATTAAAATATAAGGAGTTTATCGAAAAAAAAAATAATTCTCTCCTTAACTCAAATCAGATTATATATTCCTGATAGAAAACGATTCTATTTATATTACTTATAATATATTTTATGCAGACTGAGTCACGCAAATCAAACGGATCTCTTTTAGCGATTAATAAAAAAATATGCTTACGCGAGAATTATGATTGGTTATAATATCTAAAGAAACATTTTAGAAAAGTCGGAAAATGTCTGTTACATTTTTCCTCAAATTTCTTTTTAATCTAACAAGTCTCCTAAACGGTTCCATGCGATTATCGTGAAAATGTGTGTGTGTGTGTGTGGTGTGTGTGTGCGTGACTGTTACTCGATAATAATCAATCCGGCCTACGCGAAGGGAATAATATAACACTACTAATAGAAATATATATACAATATTTTCTGATCGATATGTACATACAACGACGATTGTTATATTATGACCCTTGACCTACATTTGCGTTATACCACAGACGTATTACGGAAGATTTCTCTGCGAGACAAAAAAAAAGATGCATAATTTGCCGGCTATAACAATCGAATTTTTCATTCGCCCGTAACCACGCCTTGTATTCATACCGCGCCTTGCATTCATACCTCCCGAGATCTTCAGGTAGTGCATTAATTCGTGCGAAAGTTAAACGTTAAAAGCTCGTCGAGTGTCGGCGAAGACGAAGCGCGCTCCTCCTCCACGCGCAGCGCGTGAAGAAAGTCGAACAATGAACCGACGTATATAGGAGCGTGGGCGGGCGTTAGTTACTACGAGGCAAAGTCAAACGAGTCGACGAGTGGTTCCGTTATTTTGCGTGATTTACGATGCGCGCGCGGGATCTATGAGCGGAAAAAGAATTCGTATCGGTCCTACATTTTGCTCGCCACATTTCGCGAGAATATAAGCCCCGGCACGGGTCGCGCCAGTGGAAGATAAAATTCAACAGAGACGGATCCATCAGGTTTATTAGAGAAATAACCAAGAAGCCACCCCGGGACTGACCAGCTCCATGAGAACTTGTTCCGTGAGGTTGTAGTGGGTAGGCTGCGCGTGCCGCTTGCGACACGCGTAGAATCCCACACTCCCCTCGTTCCTCTTCCCGGAGGGCAAGGGGCTCTTCCCCCCTTAACATCCGGGGGGCTACTGGGCGTAGCCCGGTAGTTGAAGATTTCCTCACGTAAAAAAAAAAAAGCTCCACCGACTAGCCGTTTTGTTCAGGCACTATTACTGAGGGGGTGGTATAACGATGCACCCCTTAAATGCATCATCTCCCGGCCAACACAGCCGGTTGCCGCCCGATCGACCATCCGTCGGGCGATGACAGGGCGCGGTGCGCCCACTTATTTTTGATCGCTAAGATAATTATCGTGTGCGCGAGTATTAGCGACTCGCGGCACCGATATCCCCTCGGAGCTCCGACAAGCGCCAACGGGAGCCGATCTTCGCCGAGTGCGAGAGCGCGTAATTCCGCACCGCTCCGATCGGCGCGGCGTATACGGAGAGAATGTGTGTACGCTCGCTCGTTCACTCACTTACACCTTATATAATGTAAGTGAAATGTAACGTATGCAAAGCGCAGGGGCGAAGTAATTTATGCGCCGTACGTAGGATCGCGTATTGTCGTATATGCGAGATCGTAACTGTTGATCTCGAAGGAAGCTTGAAGAGGGGTCCTTGAGAGAGAGGCACGACGGCGGGTTTATCTCGCGACGATCTTTCGAACCACTCCGCGCAGTCTGCGCTCCTCGCGCGTGTTTGCTCCTTCGCGGATTAATAATAATAATAAATAAGCTATAACGCGGTAGCTCGGCCCCCAATCTTTGCTCGCAGGTACGGAGATGTGATATTGTATTATTGTAATATATTAAAAATTGTTCGTCACTCCCTGTATCCTTCAACTTCTCCGTAGCCGCACGTTGCGTAACGGAGACTTGCGCGACTTATCTTCGGTTTCCGCGGAAAAGCCCGATCCGCGCATAATTCAAATAGGCGCGATACTCGGCCCGCGTATATAACTTCGCGCAAATCAGGTCAGGTCGTCAGGTCAGGCCTGAGTGAGTTTAACAAGAACGTTGCTGAGAGGCTTCGAATTCGTAATATGTAAGCGCCTGTAAGCCAGTTTTGAGCCACCCGATCCGCAGTAATGCCTCTTTCACCCGACACTTTCCTCCTTTTCTTTGCGTCGCGTCGCACGGCTTCGCCCGCGCGCGCGGCAACCGCGGAAAGAAACGCAAAAATGATATCTCGATCACGCGCGGATGTAAGCATACAATCTTTTTCGTCGAAGTCACCGGTCAATTAACTCTCAACCGCCGTGTAACCAGCGGTTCGGGTCGATAATGACACGACGGATATCGAGGAAGTATGAATTACGCACCTCGTCAACGTCAACGGATTTCACCGGACGGTCGTTGACCCGATGACGATGGAATGACCGTTGTTCAATTGTTCGATCATGTTTGACAAATACTAAACAGCCTTCCTTCCTGCGCGACAGATGACCGCGCGGCCTGGGCGTTCTCGCGTAACGAGCGTCGCGGTCTTATCGCCTTGCAGGGCGATAATCCTCTTACGTCACCGATCCGATTTTGCACAACGAGTGTACGTATATTATAATCTGTTATGAATAAATACCGAAATAAGAAAATGTGTGTTGCGCAAACGAGATTTAGCAATCGATGAAGACCTTCGTGGCTGATGATTAACGCATCTTGCGATAAGAACGCGATAATGCAACGCTACGCAAGAGACATTAAAACCGAGTTCGTCGAACATAACGTAATTTGGCGTAACGCGTCGCACATAAACCGCATCATCGACAATATTATGCAATTCGTGAGAACTAAACGGTTCTTTTATGAGAAGAAGATGCGTCTCTCGGTTTCTTTTTCTCGTTTTCCACGCAATTATATCAATCGCGTAAGGATTAATGCATTCTTCGCGAATGTTCCATCTTGACTTGCAGCTCTTTTTTTCTTAACCGCGTCTTGCTGCGAGCGCATAAAATAACGTTGCGCAATGGTAACAAATTGGAAAATTCGCAATAACATTATTCTATAAATTTAAAGAGATGATACAGTTCGTAATGTAAATTCTTTAAAAAGAATCATGTAAATGTAAAAAAACTATAAATATTAGTAAATAGAATATATGTTTATATATAGAATTAATATATACATATAATGGATATAGATAGTATTGTATATATAATGAATTGATATAATCTACGATTATACGAATAATATACGATCTCTCTTATAATATATTGACAAAAAAAAAGAAATGTCAAATCAAGATGTATTTGTATTTATGCAAGAATATGTAATCTTGAAATGAGACTATATTGCGTTAAACGAAGAAAACTTGCTTGAATGAAGTAATTTATATGGTTCAACCAAG